CTCAGATGGAGCTACCAGACAGGCATCTGCTGGGGTCACTTTCCTGCCCTCATGGGTGTGACCCAGAACTGGAACTGCCACTGCTGGGGAGGTCCCACGAGTGGGGCCTGTGAGTGGGGAGGCCTGGCCCAACCAGAAGGTGACAGGGGGGCACCCTGGGGTCTCTCCTCCCACCTCACTCGCAGAGTCCCTCTCTCCCGCCAACACACCATGAGCCACAGAGGCTGTCCTTACCTGCGGTGACACCGGCCTGGGGAGACTCTGCGGAAGGGGGTGCAGAGCTGGATGTGGGGCAAGTCTCCAGACAGACACACAGAGGGGCTGGGGGCCGAGGGGGGCACTTACCCAGAAGAGGCAGGAGCAGAGGCCGCGCCATGCTGAGCCAGTCACTCTGGGTGGGGATCTGGGTTTTCGTTCGTGCAGAAGGAGAGGAAGAGGTACCTCTGTGCTGAAAGATACAGAGGAAGCCACATCCTCAGGCGTGGTCACCGCTCAGCTCAGGGGCTGCAGAGAAACCAGAGCCTTGGCCACAGGGTATGCAGAGGAGAAGGGACTATTTCCTGGGGAAGTGGGGGCAGTGAGTGGGGTGGATGGAGCAGCAACAACAGCTGCCGGACACCCATAAGTTTTCAAAGGAACCCGGATGAATTTCACTGGCTTCCACCTTACAGGGATCTTGGCCTAGATTGAAGTTGGTGCCTATTGACACCAACTTGGGACATTTGTCATTCATACCAAAGATGTGGAAACTAACTAACTAATTAACTAACTAACCAACCCACCCCATCTCCTGGTCCAGCTGTGGCCATGGTGGGTCTGTTTTAAACTAACATTTGAAGGTTCAGTACCTTCACGGGAAGTGTGGCAGAGATGGCGAGGGAAGGGTTTGGGGAGGGTTTCCAGTCCCCAAACCACCAGCCACCAGATGTCTGTCCACCATAGAGGAACTGCTGGGTTGGGATCATTTTCCCCCTTTAATCTGCTTTTTGGCACGTTAAATCTATTGGTCGATCGGCTGGAGTTTCTCGCGATCAGAAAGACTCACGTAATGGGTGGCTGGACAAATTCCAGCTCTTCCCCCCATTGGTGCAATTTCACACCCCGGTGTGCCAGCCTGTGCCCCACCCTGTCGACCAGGATTGTTGGTCTGATGATTGTGGTTCATCACTGATTGTATCTGACCGGGAGATATGAAGGTTCTGGTCGCAATTCAGGCGGCAGGGGGAGCTAACACAGAGAGTCCAACACCAGGAGAGGACTCTCGGGTTGTGTGGCCAGTGCGCGTGGTTTTGTAGACCCTGAAACGGAGGCCAGGACCAAATGAACACGAGCTGTATTGAACTAAATGGAAGATCAGCTCGTGCAATGGAACGCACAGTTACAAACCAACAATGACTCCTAGGGTACGTCTAGACGACAGGGTTTTGTCGACAGAAGTTTTGTCGACAGATACTGTTGACAAAGCTTCTGTCGACAAAGAGCGTCTAGACTACAGCCAGTTCTGTCGACAAAGCAAACCGCTTTGTCGACATAACAGTGTGGACGTAAAGGACAGTGTAGATGCAATAATGCCTTCTATCGACAGAACTCTGTCAATAAAAGGCGTTATTCCTCGTAGAATGAGGTTTACATACGTCAACAAAACTGCTGAGTTTTGTCAACATTATGTTGACATAACTCAAAGGCAGTGTGGACGCAGGTATAGTTTTGTCGACAAAAGTCCACTTTTGTTGACAAAACCCTGTAGTCTAGACACACCCCTAGTGACACCCTTCCCTGAAGACCTGGTAGATGGAGAGGGTGGACCAGCCTGGCCTCTCATGGGCCCAATGAATATTATTGTCCAGACTTCCCCGGAGGGTCAGGCTTAGGTGCACGTGTTGCGTAGCTAAGCTGTATTGTGGTGTTTTATACCTTGGGTTTATGCACACCACTTTATCATCATAGAATCACAGAACACTAGAACTGGAAGGGACTTTGAGAAGTCATCGAGTCCAGTCCCCTGCCCTCATGGCAGGACCCAGCACCATGTTGACCATCCCTGCCAGGTGTCTGTCCAACCTGCTCTTCAATATCTCCAGAGATGGAGCTTCCACAACCTCCCTCGGCAATTTATTCCAGTGTTTCACCAGCCTGACAGGTAGGGAGTTTTTCCTAAGGTCCAGCATCAACTTCCCTGGCTGCAGTTTAAGCCCATTGCTTCTTGTCCTGTCCTCAGAGGCCAAGGAGAACAATTTTCCTCCCTTCTCCTTGTGACACCTTTTTAGATACCCGAAACTGCTCTCCTGTCCCCTCTCAGCCTTCTCCTTTCCAAACTAAACAAGCCCCATTCTTTCAGTTTCCCTTCATAGCTCGTGTTCTTTAATCATTCTTGTTGCTCTTCTCCAGCTTCTCCACATCTTTCTCGAAATGTGGGTTCCCAGAACTGGACACAATCCTCCAACTCAGCGCAGAGCAGAGTGGAAGAATGACTTCTCGTGTTTAGTGTGAAAACGGCGATTTTATGTCAAACAAAATGGAGTCGGTCGCCTTCGACCGCCCTGGGCTCCATCTTGGGCTTTGCCCCTCCCCCCGTGGCGCGCACAGCGACCGTTGGGGAACCGGTTCCAACCGGATTTTCCCGCCTTGCCGAGAGTTCCGCTCCCCTCAGGGCTCCCGCCAAGCAGCCTGGGAGGCGCCAGTCGCTGCCCCAGAGGCAGCCAGAGCCGGGTCCCCTCTGACATGCACCCCCCCTTTACCACTGTGGGGGGAACAGGGGCACCCCCCATTAGCCATCCGCACCCCCATCGGCTCACCCACCTCCCTGCTCCACCCCCCCAGCTGACCCCTGAAAGGCACTGTGGGGACCACGGACTGGAGGCCCCAAATCCCTTTCAAGTGGCCTCCCCCATTGGTGGCTAGATCAGATCCTTGTATCGGGGTCTCCTTTGGTTGGCCTATCTGACATTACCTAGCTGGGTCTGGGCTTCAAGCCCACTGAATAAGTCACAACATCATTAGTTTCTTTGCTATTTGACTAGCTGGTGTGTGACTGCTCTGGCCCGAAATTCCTTGATGGTGTATCATTTCTGAACACACTCTATCTTGGTTTGCTCCCTACACAGCCCCCTCCTCATTTGGGGAAGGGAAAGGGGGTTACAAAACAGCAAGGGCTGTGATCTTAAGAACAGAAAAATCAGTCCCACAAAAATGAGGTTTACAGAATCGTTCGAAAAAGAGCCCCGTTTTTGAGAGAACCGTGTCTAGACCACAGTGTTATTGTCGAAATGGCGCTTTTTCAAAAGAGTGCCGTTACGTGATTATGCAAATGAAGCAAGGGATATTTAAATTTTGGCTTCATTTACACTTTGGAAGTGCTTCATTTACATCCCTCTGCCGACAGAGGGTTGTCATCTAGACGTTTGTCATGCAGCCTGGAGCGGCTGACAACCGTGGGTCCTGATGTCAGAGCAGAGTGTCAAAAGCAAGGCAGACACCGGCCTGAGCTACTGTTGGGTACCCTAATGAGATTTTCCGGAGCCAGTAACACACGTGGACTCCTAGGTCCTATAACAGCCTCAACATGGAGTCACAGACAGTCCCCTTGGGCTTCCCAGCCCATCTCGCCTCCCAGACACACTCGCACCCAAAACCACATCCCGTGTAGGTTGCTTCCAGGACAAGTGTGACGTAGTAGGGGATGAGGAACTCTTGATCCAAGAAAAGTAGACAATGGCCAGCAGTTTCACACCTGGCCAGGGGAAGGAGAACAAAGGAAGGGGCGTATCTGACTGGGGCAATTGAGTGACCGGTGGCCAGGAGAAGGGGCAGTCTGGGGGAGGAAGATGAACAAGGCAGACTAAAGCCAGGACAGGGGGCTCAGGGGCCCTTGAACCCCTCCCCCCTAGGACGGATAAGGCTGTCCATTCTCAGTGTACCCTGCTACCATCGCCGGTGTCCCTGAGAACCAATACAACGTCCTACTCTACTGGCTGATTGAGAGTCATATCTAGCTCCAGATGGGGGTACACGGTTGGGGACATCACACCATAGACACCAGTTATTTTCCACACAACAGTTGTTACCCTAGAACCTGCACCGAAGACAACACCCATAGCCAGGGCTGTGTGATGTTTTCTACAGTTTTATTAACTAGGAGAAAGGAATACTCGAGTTCTCTGAAGGTTAAAGGCAGCAAAGAGACACACACCTGTGAGTTATCCAAAAGAGTAACAGAGTTTTAGTCATTTGTCAATTAAAATGGTCTATGTAGGACAACCCCCAAGGCAGCCCTGGGAATCTCCGGTTTCAGATCAGAGTGTCTGGCCCTTCAGCGTTCAAACAGGCAAAAGCCAGATTCTTCCTGTCAGAGATTTTTCTTCCTGGGTTTGTCTACACTACAAAGTTAATTTGAAATAACAGCCGTTATTTTGAATTAACTTCAATAGCATCTACACATGCCAACTGCTATTTTGAATTAGATTTTGTGTCTAGATGCGTTATTTCGAATTTGCTTAATTCAAATTAACCGTTTCGAATGACGTTAATTCAAAATGGCGCTGTAGTGTAGACATATCCCCTTTGCCAGAGAGATCAGAGGGCAGGACCCGTTCACATGCTCATCTCCAGTCCATGGGTCTGCGGAGCCAACAGCCAAGTGTTTTCTGCTTTCATGTTCCACAATGGTTTGTCTGAGGTCTAGGGTTGTTTTTTTTCTGGGCAAGAAATAGCCCCCCCCATGGCAAACTCGTATCCGGATGGGGAGGTTTTTGCAGTTTCAGAGCAAACAGTAAAATATCACCTGATAACATGGAGCGTTGCTATTATCAGTACAGTTGCGACATACAGACTTTGTTTTTTCACATTCAAACCCTGCAGACATTCTTGTGAACCTGATACTAATCTCGAGTAAAACGCACACCCAGATAACCAGGTCTAGTCTGCAGCCTTGTTTTCTGTTCTGAGCTCTGGGGAAGTGCCTGGTCCCCCAGCCTGCCAAGGTCACACAGCCGGTTAGTGTGACCAAGGCAGACACAGGAATCCGCACTCTTTGGGGTAGGGCTGGCTACGTTAGCAACTGCCTGCATTGTGCATTTCCACCACGCAGATACAAACTCTTTCGACATGCCCCATGCACACACCACACAGTGACAGTCATGGCCAGGGGCTCCCCAGTTTTCTATAATATTGCACAGGATACTGGCTGGCTAAACAGGCTGACAGCAGTGACTTGGGTCATACCAGGGCTATAGAGATACAAAGGGGGAAGGATACAGATCCTGGGCGCAGGGGAAGAGGATGTGTAGGAACACAGAGAGGGCTTCCCCTCCTCATTTGGGTGCCTTGTGGGTGGGTTTGGTTGCCACCTCGCTGTACAGCACCCGCGCCTCATCAGCAGGCCTGGCTCTGGTTTTCGACTTTGTCGCATGAGCGTTCGAGGCAGACAACTCTATGTGTGCGTAGGCGACTTCCGAGCCCTGCTGGGGGAGGACAGAGAAGCAGTGAGGGTGGTGCATGGACAGGTTTTGGAGGAGGGAGTGGAGAACACAGCCATGGCGTCGGACCTAGCAAGGCCGGAGGAAGCCAGGAGTGACGTGAGCTGCAACCTAAGTGGAGACTTGCCCTGAAATGAGCCAGGGGCAATGCAGGGACGTGTTTGATGCTCCGCTGAGGCAGGAGAAGTTAAGGAGTGGGTGTAACTGGCGCAGCAGCCGCCCTGCAGAAAAAGAGCCGCAGAGCAGCACAAATGGATTTGAGCCAAGAGGGCCCTGCTGCCGTGAGACAGCCCAACCCCCTCTGGGCGTTGTGAACAGGAGCATCGCACGTACGGCAGCTGAGCTAACGGCCCCTCTCCACCCGGCACTGGTGAGGTCTCCGCTCAGCCCCCTGCCCCAGCATTGCCCTGTCTCAAGGGAGTGTTAGGTAAGAGAGTAAGAAAACGTTACTAACTCTGAGGGTAGCTAAGCCCAGAACAGGTGACCCAGCAGTGCAGGGGGATCCCCATCAGGGGGGATTTCAGCGAGGAGCTGGCCAAACACCCGTGGGGAAGGTCCAGGTTTGGGGGATCCTGGCTCAGCAGAGGGGCTGGACTTGAGTCCCTTCCAGCCCTACTTTGCCGTGATTCAGATCAGACTTTGGGGTGATGGGGAAAGGAGTGACCAGTTCTCAGCCCTCCCCACACCTGTAAAACCCAGAGCCACTTCCCTTTGTGGCTTTTCCTTGCCTGCCCCACCCCAGCCAGCCCGCTGCCTCTCAGCCCTGGGCACAAGACTGAGGCCCATGGACCCATTCATGTTACCTGGTCCATCTGTGCGGCTTCTGGTCGCTTCTTCTGACGCCTGGGATCCCTGTTCCTGGGGTGTTCTCTGGGCTCGGATGGCTCAGGGCCCGCCGCAGGCTTTACAACTGAAACAGACCCAGAGGAGAAGGGGGCTGATGTGGGGAGTGTCATGAGGATGCCCAGAAAGCAGCTGGTGGCAAAGGACGTGCATTGGGATGGAGCAGAAGGTTTACACGGGATGCTTAGAACTGCTCTCTGCAGTTGTTAAATATGAGGAGTTACTAATATGGAGAGGCAATGTTTGCACAAGAGATGCATTCTCTAATCAGTGTAGCTACACGGCACTGAGGGACGTATTGATGCTAATTGCGGTCACGGATGAACCCAGTGGTGAGAAACTGGGCTCAGGTGCCATTGACTTCTGGAGTGAAATCAACCCAATAGGAAAGGGTGTCCTTTGTTCCACGCCCACATGTGAGGGGTGAATTCTGTGGCGTGTGCTGGAGGGGAGGGAAGGTGCCGACACGTCCCCACTCCCGAAGTGATGTTTCCCGTGCTTCTCTCTGGACACGGCTGTGAATGGGACGGATCGGCCGTCTCAAATCAAACCGCCGCTGAGCTGTTTCTGTGACACCATATGGGATTAAAGCAAATGTAGCGATCTCTGCTTGGAAACACACCGATTTTCACAGCTGTACCCTATTCTAGACCCTGCCTTCCCATTGAGAATAAATTCCTCATTGGCCAGGGATCCCTGAGGGCTGCTTCCCACACCCACACCGTGGCATGGCGCTGTGTTGTTGTGAATGTTCCTGGCTACGCCACGTTGAGAGAGCAGATGGGAGATCACCAACCTCTTTTCTTCCTCCAGCCCCACCACAGGAGGGCAGCCAGGAGTCCGAGCAGAAGCAGGACACCGCCGACGACTGGCAGCAGGATAACGGAAAGAGGGGATGCAGCTGTGGCTGATGGAGGAAAGAGGGAAGCGGGGGTGAGAACAGCCAGACGCTCCAGGACAAGGTCTGGGCCCCACAGAGGAACCTGGCGATGCAACAGATTGGCCCTTTGCTGAGCTCTCTGTGACGTGTGTTTGTCCCTGCCTGCTCTTTGCTGCAAAGCGGGGACAGGAGACCCAGTGGTTATGGGGCTGGCCTGGGGCGCTGGCCATGCGGGTTCAATTCTCTGCTTTGCCACAACCCCGTGGGACTTGCTGTGTCCTTGCCTCCGATCCCCATCCCTGCACAGGGCTCCGAGGGGCTCCAGCTGTTACCGACACAGTGAGATCAGACATGTGGCCCGTCACATGTTCCTAGCTAGAATCGGGGGGCGATCGACAGAACGTTCATCCCCCACTTGCTTCTCTATCTGCAGGTGGCACCTGTCACCTCATCCCATCTCCCCTTCCCAAGAGAGCCCCTGAGGACGATTCTCCTCCCTTGGGAGCCTCCCAGGGATGTCTCACCTGTGTTAGCATCATCCACAGTGACGTTCACGGCCTGGCCCGTGGGGGACGGGCTCCAGCCCCCGTTCTCCTTCTTCCCACAGGTGAATTGAATCACGTGGCTGGGACCGCGGGTCACAGTCACATTGACAGAGACATTCCTGGGCTCCGCCACATCGATCTCAGAGCCTGCGATGCTGGGAGCCACCTCATCTCCACCCTTGGGGGCTGTGCAGGTGATGACCAGGGGGAGCCCTTCACCCACCGCTCCAGATGTGGGATCCAAGCTCAGCACTGGCGGAGGAAGGGGATCTGCGGGGAGCAGCAAAGGGGAGGGGTCAGCAGGCATAGGGCAGGGGGGAAAGAGGAGCTGGTGCCAAGAATTCAACTTACTCAGAGCTGCCCCCTGCTCTGTCTCCACAGCCTCTTGCTTCAGCTCAGGACTGAGGGTCTCCGCACAGAAATAAGCAAGTGCCTTGCTGGGGGGGGGGCTTCCCATAGATCCAGCGTGGGGCTGGAGTGGGAGGGCAGAAACTGCCATGGACACCAGGCCACAAATCATCTCCTGCCACTCCCAACCCTCATTGCTAATGCCCCACCTCTGAGTTTCATGGACCCCTCTGCAGACAGATCTCAGGGTGTGTGGGGATCCCCCCCCCCCTACCCCGACTCGCT